ACCTGAAGTTGTCGGACACTGATGCGCAGATCCGAGTCATTGAATTGGTAGGCGATATTCCATCCAAGAGAACCGTATTTGATGCGTTCTTGGACGAGAGCGTGGAAGAAGCACAGACCATACACCATTTTGTGCCATACTTGAGGCTAGCAGTAAGAAAGAAGGCAAAGTTTATTACAGTGTTCCCTTTGAATGGCTTAGAAATAAAAATATCCCACAGAACTGGGTATGGTATGGTTTGGTTTGTCACCTCTGCCGTCATACAGTCTAGCTTTTAGTGAATCCCAACAAGATGCCTTTGTTCAGATGAGGAATGTTCCTCTTGATTAGGTATACCGGAGTTTGGAGAAGTAATTTAAAAGCACTAGCGAATGCTCAAAAGGGAAATGATCCAGAATTGTTCCTGGAATTGGAGACAAATTACCTTGTTACAGTTATTCCAGAAAGACATGTCAGAAATCGGGTCAGTAGAATAGGAGCGTAGAAGATTAGAGCGAAGACCTTTCGGTGGCTCATTCGTCATTTTTATGCCTAAAGTTAAAAACATTACTTAACTCGTCATTCGATGCAATGTAGTGAATGTCTTGGAAACTGTAGGAAAATATTTCATTCAGCAAATCAGTCACGCCTTAAACTACACACTACCTCTTGTCTTCTCCACTTACAGCTTTACCCCTGCGCAAATAAAACCTCGATGGCAACACTGCAACTCCTCACCTCACTATGCTTTCCAAACCACCTGCCTAGGCTGCATCTCCTCCATACTTTACTGAAGGCCAGTCTCACCGAAAAGAAATTATCACTTCAACTATGGACAATTTTTATCATTTGGATACTGAAAACGAGGACAAGATAGTGGCTTCCTTTGCCTGACCTTGCAACAAAGACCGTCATTCCAGATAAGATAAGTTGTGCCCTGGTCCGAGGCAAAAGGCAACATTTCTCTCGTCGTGGCTTTATGTGCTTGGCTTATAAAGTAGGTGCTCCGAATTCGCAATATTTTTGACATTTAGCATGAGAGACGAGATGACACGTGTTTTCCAAGCATGTGCTGGCTCGCGAGTGAAAAGTTAAGGAACGATTAATTACATTCCTTGGCATAATGAACCGTGAAGGGCAAAGGTTACCGCCCATCAAAAGTTATTGAATGAGTCCTTTAAGTCGTTTGTGATGTGGACAGCAACGATACTCCTTCAAGCATATTCTCATCTTTGAGCGTGTACTATGAGTAACCTCGACCATTGCTTCCCTTAAAGTGGAATAAAATTGGATTGCGCCTGAATGAACAGCTCTCACAATTTTAAGTTCACCAAATTTTTAGTATTTATTAGTTGCGTTCTCTTCACAACGGACTCACCATTTTGGAGAATAGAGACAGGAAAGTCCTCAGAGGGGTATGACGTGAGCCACAGACGAAAATCACTGTGAGTCTTTTCTGGCACAATGACTTCATTGCAGATCTTCTCTAGGTACGGCATCCAACTAGCTGCCAAATGGCAGTTCTGCAGCACTACCCAAGCCCCCTCTGTAATACCATTGTTGATGAGCCGCTCTGCTAGGGGCCCCTGACCCTGTCCCAAAGAAATTGTTTGAATGTCTGTTGGTCGGATGCCGCGGTCCCCTCCGAAACGCATCAACGCATTCAGTGGGTCTGCACCCGGTGAAAGGACGAAAATGAGAGGAGTACAGCAGTTGGAGTCCTCGTAACTGCCTGCCAGATCAAAGGCCGGAGGCTCTAGGAATTGGCGACCCATATGGCGCTGGATGAAGTTCTGAATTAGAATAATTGGCCAGGTCATTAATGGACTACTGAGCAAAGCTGAGAGAGAGCATGCAAGAGCCAAATAATTTTGTCTAATTCAGTCAGGAATTCCGATGAGTGGATGCCAAAAAGATTAACAATCTTATCAATACTTCTCTTGAGCATGGAGAACCATGTCTTTGTGGTTTCTTTCATTACTGTCATCCATCTGACTAGTGGCTGATCTCGATGTTT